CATGGTATAATACCGTAATTGTGCGTCTTATGGCACCGGGGTGCGATCGTTTTCTAAATCATTCCTATCTTGGTTTTTTATCGCACCCCGGTGCCATAACACCGATGGGTGGATGGGTGCCATAACACCGATGATACCTGTGCGGAAATGCAATTAAATGATTTCGTTCTAGATTTCCAACGCCCCCCCGGGGCGATGACACCAATGGGTGCGATGCGGAAGAAATCACACTGGCCATTTTACGGTGCTGAGTGAACACACCCCGGTGCGATGACACCGATAGGTGCGATACTCAAGAAACGAACACAGGCGTTTCTGGTACGAGTACCGTAATTGTGCGTGTAACGGTACTTAAAAAATGGCGCAGCTGATGCTAGTTTGTGGTAGACAGACGCTGTGGCGCTGTGGCTCCCTGCTGGGAAAGGTATACGGCACGGCATTGTTTTCTTCCAACCTTTGTTGGTGGCAAGCCACTCATTTGTTGGCCGGTGTTTCCATCTGTCTTTGCCTGCCTCAAGGGGCATGTTACCGGTACAGTTGCAGTAGCGTTTACGAACTCCTTCTTGTTCGGTTGGTTGGAGGTGGGGGGTGCGTTCTGTGTGCTTGATTGAGTGACTCAGTGCATTCGATGTACGGATTGCCGTAGAACATGAATCATTTGTACCGCACCTCGACGATACGACATACACACATGAAAGGAATGGCAATTGGTACCTACCGGATCCTCTCAGCCGATCGTTACATATAGTTCGACACGTGGCCGGAGGGTACCGTTACCTTGCGGAAGCACGCAATTTTACGTCTTAAGCAGGTTTTATATCGTTGATATCGCACCGGGTGCGTTAACACCGATACCGGCGCGGAAATGCAATTAAATCATGCCGTTCACGATATTTTTGCGCACCCCGGTTTTGAAGAGCGTAATCGTACCGCCGCTAGAGTACGCCGGAGAAGTATGGGAAGGAAATAAGAAGGTAGTGAAAGAACTCGACGCGGCGCAGATGAAAGCAGCGAAAATCATCCTAGGATGCTCCAAGCGCACAAGTAATGCAGTCGGCAGGGCAGAATTGGGGGTCCAATCCCTACGGTCGGGAAGAGACGCAAGGAAGCTGACATGGCAGTATCGCATGTGCGGGATGGGGGAGGAGAGGTTGCCGAGAATAGTATGGGAGGCGAAGTGGGCAAACAAAAAGAGGGGTAGACAACCCACGGAATGGGTCAAGATTGTAGAGGACGTATGTAAGGGTTAGACATCGACGAAGATGAAACGCTGGAAACGGAGGGTCTACAGGGGTTCAAGGAGAAGATATCTGTTGCTTGTGCCGACAGAGAAGAACAGAATCTAAGGAAAGAAACCAAGGACAAGGAGGGTCTACAAGTGTACGGAATGTTTAAATAAGGAATAGGGTTCAAGGACTACCTACATGGACCAATGGATGCAGGGACAAAGCTCAAGGTCAAATTCAGGACCGGGGACATAGGCCTTCGAGAACGTCGACGAAGACATTGGACGGTAGACGACGAAGACGACGAGTTCAAATGTGATTGCGGCTTCGGATGCGAAGACCGTGTTCATGTAGTCGCGGAATGTCCGTGGTACGAACAGGAGAGGGAAGTGTACATGACTGAGCTGGGAAAAATAGAAGGGAGGTACAGGGAGATGTTTGAGGCATGGAATAGAGAGGAGAGGACGGTAGCTGTACTGGGGAGTAGGAAGTGGTTTGAAAAGGCGGGGAGGGATATCGTTAGCATAGACAAAATAGGGAAGACCTTTTTGAGCCACCTTTAGCAAAGTAGGAAGGAACGATTGGCCATCGGTGATCGGTCCTGTGGGAACAATGCTCCGTCCTCTGGAGGACGGGTGGTCAATGGTCCAACCGTTAAGACATGCAAAACAAAAGAGTACCCCCCCCCCCGGTGCGAGATATAGGTTCGACCGACCATTTCCTCATATGGGCAAACATCGACCGATCTAGAAAGACGGAGAGTAAGAAAAAGAGGAAAGTGTTCCGGTGGAAAGTAGAGCGTTTGGGAGACGAG